GGAATGAGAAGGAGAGCACAGTGCGCTTGAGTCAGCGCGCTTACCTGGAAGAGATGCTGCGGGAGTTCCGGCTAGAAGGTGTGCGTGGTCGCGCGACCCCGCTTCCGGTTGGCTGTGCGCTGTCGCGGAATGATTCCCCGGGGAAGGGAGAGACGCAAATGGATCCGGCGTTATTTCCGTACCAGGCAATCCTGGGCAAGCTCGGATGGGCGAATGCGACAACACGGCCTGACCTCGGATACGCGGTCCACGTCCTGGGACGCTTCCAGCAAAATCCGGGCCGTGAGCACTGGGCCGCGCTGATGCACGTTGTCGGCTATGTGTCAGAAACCCTGGATCACGGACTTACCTATCGACCTCCCCCACCTGGCGTGGCTCCAGCGGATTGGATCCGCCCGGTGTGCTACGCAGATGCGGACTTTGCGGCTTGCGTGGATACACGTCGCTCCGTTTCGGGCTACGTGACGATGGCAGCAGGCACCCCGGTGGATTGGAGCGCGAAACGGCAGCCGACCGTCTCGCTTTCAACGGTACAAGCGGAATATGTCTCCATTGCGCGCGCGGCACAGCAGATGCTGTGGAGTCGATCATGGTTCGCCGAGGCGGGCTTCCCACAGTCGGGGCCGTTCGTGATCTATGGCGACAATCTGGGCGCGGTGCAACTCACATCGAACACGAAGGAGCATCACAAGATCAAGCACATCGACATCAAGTACCATTTCATCAGGGAACTGGTGTATGACGAGAAGATGGTGGTAAAGCATGTCGCCGGAGTCGAGAACGTGGCGGACATCTTCACGAAGCCGGTGCCAGCAACGACGCTACGGAAGCACCTATCGGCGATGGGATTGTTGGGATGAGGAGTCGTCCGAGTCGGGGGGGGTGTTAGCGGAGAGGTTCCAGTCCGGGTTGGGGACTCGGATCAACTCCTATGTCTGGTCACTATATCTCCCATTTTCGGTCACATTCGCACCTCAGTCGTTTTCTCCATTGACCGACTGAGGTGCGAACATTTCCTTTCCAAGTTCACCCGTACTTTACTTACGTACCTTAGACTAAATACTTCGTCTCGTCTACAGGTACTAATCGAGTCGTTTTCTCCATTGACCGACTGAGACTAAATACTTCGTCTCGTCTACATAGATGTCTATTCATGGTAAAAATCGAGCTGTAAATCAACATCTATTTCCAATAGGGGAAGTCAAACATCTCCCCACAGATGTGATTTTGCAGTGATTTAGTGGTGATTCAAGTGGTGATTCAAGTCTGATTCGACACACAGAATCACCATGAATCACTCTAGAATCACTGCAAAATCACCTCATGTTTGACCACCCTGCTTTTACGCACCCCAGGGACCTCCAATTATTACGTAAAATGGCTTCGAGGCCCCCTCCGGAGGCCATCAAACCACCCCCTACCCCCCCTGATCGGAGGCCATCCTGGAGGCGCCTTCCTAATTGGTACTCTGCCCAGCCATTCATCCACAGCCAGCATGGTAGGCTAGGCATTGACCCGAGTGTTTATATGTGCTGTAGTAGTCAGTATAAAGCCTCATACAATGTCTTAGCTCACAAAAGCTTGTATTTCTTGCTTGCAAATGGCAGACCACTGGGCACACAAAATTCGGGATTTGAGCACATGAGCACTCCTCAGGTGCATAGAGCAGCAGTATATATATTAATTCGAGATTGAGCATGAGGTAGCTGTGCCCACACGCAAAAATGAGATGTTGCTGAAGGGATGGTTTATGGCCTCCACAACCTCCCAGGGGCAGAAAAAAAGGTGTTGGGTAGCCCACAGGCCCTTGAATTCTGCTTCAATAGATCAATTTGACGTTTGTCAAAACAACAGCCCAGGATATCAATTGGATGCTGGAGCAGTGACAGAACAAGCCTCCACCGCCTCCAGGGCTGGGGACCAAAAGCGGTTATTGTAGATTCAGCCACATAAACCATATTTCTGATCTTGTTTGTCCTAGTTGGAATGTCTGGGTATTCAAGAGAGACAGGTGGCTACATAGATCAGATGCTAGCACCAATAGCAGAACTGGCCTCCATGGCCTCCACAGCCAGTGACCAAAAGCGTTTTTTTGGGTTCAGCCACATAAACCATGTCCATGATGTTGAAGGTCTTCCTTATAATTATGAGGGTCCTTTAGTTAAATGTCTCACCACATGAATCAGATGCTGGAGCAAATGGCAGAACTGGCCTCCGCTGCCTCCACAGGTTATCACTTGAAGAGTCTGAATGAGATGACAATGTAACAGATATATATTCTCCTGGCTGACCACATTCTGTCATTTTCACCTCTACATGCTAGTTTAATTGCTGCAGAATGTTAAAATTAGAGGATGGGAGACCCTGGAGGCACTGGAGGCACATGCAAGATCCAATCAATGTCATCAATATCATCAATGCCATCAATAGCATCAAGAGCATCACCGATCATTGGTATATTGATCAGCCAATCAGATGATGAATGAACATCGAACATCTAGTATATTCACTCCTGAGAGACACAGACTACATGTATGCTCATACTGAAAGTGGATTAGTGGTCCCAGGACATGCCCCAATGACATATTGCATGCTTGTATCAGGGACATATGATTAAAAATCGGAGTTGGCAAATGAGCTGAAAGTCAACTGAAGATGAGTGGTACAGTGGAGTACTTTCAGCTCATTTGCCAACTCCGATTTTTAATCATATGTCCCTGATACAAGCATGCAATATGTCATTGGGGCATGTCCTGGGACCACTAATCCACTTTCAGTATGAGCATACATGTAGTCTGTGTCTCTCAGGAGTGAATATACTAGATGTTCGATGTTCATTCATCATCTGATTGGCTGATCAATATACCAATGATCGGTGATGCTCTTGATGCTATTGATGGCATTGATGATATTGATGACATTGATTGGATCTTGCATGTGCCTCCAGTGCCTCCAGGGTCTCCCATCCTCTAATTTTAACATTCTGCAGCAATTAAACTAGCATGTAGAGGTGAAAATGACAGAATGTGGTCAGCCAGGAGAATATATATCTGTTACATTGTCATCTCATTCAGACTCTTCAAGTGATAACCTGTGGAGGCAGCGGAGGCCAGTTCTGCCATTTGCTCCAGCATCTGATTCATGTGGTGAGACATTTAACTAAAGGACCCTCATAATTACAAGGAAGACCTTCAACATCATGGACATGGTTTATGTGGCTGAACCCAAAAAAACGCTTTTGGTCACTGGCTGTGGAGGCCATGGAGGCCAGTTCTGCTATTGGTGCTAGCATCTGATCTATGTAGCCACCTGTCTCTCTTGAATACCCAGACATTCCAACTAGGACAAACAAGATCAGAAATATGGTTTATGTGGCTGAATCTACAATAACCGCTTTTGGTCCCCAGCCCTGGAGGCGGTGGAGGCTTGTTCTGTCACTGCTCCAGCATCCAATTGATATCCTGGGCTGTTGTTTTGACAAACGTCAAATTGATCTATTGAAGCAGAATTCAAGGGCCTGTGGGCTACCCAACACCTTTTTTTCTGCCCCTGGGAGGTTGTGGAGGCCATAAACCATCCCTTCAGCAACATCTCATTTTTGCGTGTGGGCACAGCTACCTCATGCTCAATCTCGAATTAATATATATACTGCTGCTCTATGCACCTGAGGAGTGCTCATGTGCTCAAATCCCGAATTTTGTGTGCCCAGTGGTCTGCCATTTGCAAGCAAGAAATACAAGCTTTTGTGAGCTAAGACATTGTATGAGGCTTTATACTGACTACTACAGCACATATAAACACTCGGGTCAATGCCTAGCCTACCATGCTGGCTGTGGATGAATGGCTGGGCAGAGTACCAATTAGGAAGGCGCCTCCAGGATGGCCTCCGATCAGGGGGGGTAGGGGGTGGTTTGATGGCCTCCGGAGGGGGCCTCGAAGCCATTTTACGTAATAATTGGAGGTCCCTGGGGTGCTTTTACGAGTACATGTCTGTATGTAGAGTAGCCTATGAATCCAAATTGCGACGTCTCCAGTGACATGTCATCACCTGACCCTTGCCTCTCTGCCACGGCCCGCAACCACACCAACTCTTACCCATGCCCCACACTACTCCCAGGCAGCGGCGAGCCCGGGACGTTATCGATACATTCATTGAGCCTTGGGGTTTCCTCTTTGCCATGGCTTGTAGCGGTCTAAGTAGTCGGTAGTTGAAGGATGTCTTAGAAGGAAATGGAATTTTCAGCACATGAAGCAGTACAGATATCAGGGTTAGGTTTTCAAAGTGATTCAGAATCCGGATTCATCCTGAAGCACCTCAAGAGGTGATTCGGTGATTCGAGGTGATTCAGTGATTTGATGGCACTCAAATCATCTTTTGAATCACCGCTGAATCGCTTTTCAGATCACTTTCAAAATCCAAGCTTTGACTTCCCCTAATATATATATTTTTGTCTGAAAACAGAACGGTGAAAATCGGACTTCTAGATTGTCACGCATTTTCCACATAAAAAAATTAAGTCCCCCCGCAGTGTGTGGAACAGCTGACAATGAGTCGGAGGAAGTTTTACAAGATAAATCTCCAGGTGGGTCACACATGGCTGGAACTGCTCAAGAATCAACTCTACCCGGGGCTGTGGGCCTGTGTGATTAGAGCTGTGAGTCTGGCATTAGTGAAGATGGCAAGGGGTTTGTGTGGGAATGCCGCAACATAAGGGCAGGACCTTGACGCATGTGCATTGGCAGCGGGCGTCTATCTGGTGAGATTCATCAGAGGCAGAAGCTGATGTAATCCGAGGTGCAAGGCTTGGAATCGAGTGAGACCTGCAGCATCACAGCGCCAAACTTGCGTGCTTGTGAAACCAGCACTCCGCGGACGGGATCGTGTGAGAACCGCGCCAATGTCCGAGGCCAAAGAGCCGCCTTGTCGACTGCATGTGACAGAAGTTATTATTCTTGTGTTTGCTCCAGGTGCGGTTCGCGGTTCGCGAGAGTGACCCCGCACCAGCCGTCAATGTGGATTGTGGTGATTCAAATGTGACAACCAAACAAAACGTTAGGCTACATCTAGATTGCTACTGCCAATAATTGCTCGGATACAAGGCCTTGATAGATGTGGCATCGCAAATGCGTCTACGTATACAGCAAGCTGAAAGCATATAAGATCAGATCAAATCGGGCTTATCAATCGACCGGCTCCAACTTAGGCTGTGGCCACAGCACAAAGTCGCCTCTCACAATCCTGTCCTGGACCTCCTTCGTCTCCAGCGCAGCCATTTCGCGCACCCTCGCAGGCTGAGACGGCAAGAACGAGTAGTGGCGCGAAGACGATTCCAGAAACTCGTAGTCCGGGCACATTTCCTTGACCCCGCTGAGCGGCACGGCGGCGTTATATCGGCGAAGACGCGACTCCGAAACAGGCCCGAAGATGTTCTGCAGGACACGGGAACCGAGCGTTTTGTGCCAATCCCGGCTGATCACCGGCTGAGTCAGACCTGGCTGGAACTGGGCCCAAGCCGGCACGCTCTTCGGGACTGGCGGCAGATCCGGGGGATATTGGGGAGCGACGGGTCGAGTGCTAGGTAGCAACTGGCTATTGGTATGGGTGGTGTTGTGTATCATCAGTTCAGCCGGACTGCGCAAGATGCGTTGGCAGCCTGAGTTGATCAGTTCCCAACGTTGAAGTGGAAAGACGCTGGTTCCCACCTCGGTAAGGACAGGGAATGTTGTCTAGGACGTGTCTTTCCACATGCAGAGCCAAATGGATGTTGTCCGAGAATCGTTGGCCGCAAAAGTTCCAAGCACAGGACTGACCGATTAGCAACGACCCCAGTCTAGAAGAAAGAAAACACTTACTGGTTCGAGCGGATTTTCTTGTGCATGCTCGTAGAGATGAGCGACTGCGTTCTCGAGACAGTTGAGCATAGCGTCGCAAGCGATCCACCGACACCGAACCATTCTCCCTCTGGAACAAGCTTCGAGCATGGCGGCCGCTTCTCCCTCATCTGACAGGCTCATGTTATAAAGAAGATAGAACCCGATGACATTCAATACTAACTCGTCGTGTTGCTGTACGACCCTACTGTGGCTCAGTGCGAGACTGGGGCAATGATGGGGGCTTCGCCATACCTAATGACCGCCGCCGCTTCAGGTCATTGAAATCGACCACCAGCTCATCCACATCTCGCATGTCCACGTCTGACTCATCTCGCGGAGACGCTGCAGCACGCATGCGACGGATGTCACGCCGAACGAGTTCCGCGTATGGGCCGGGTGGAACCAGTACACAGTCCATGATCTGCGGAGTGAGAGTTACAGCGGGTGGTGCCGATGATGGTACCAGAGTTGTTGGTGGTGCTGCTGCTGCCGGTGTGAGAGGCGCAATAGGGTCCGCAGTAAAGGGTCTTGCCGGGGCGGAAGGTATTGGCATAACATGGACAGGCTCAGATTCAATGGGCATAGGTCGCGGCGCAGCTGGTATTGCAGCGATCTTCGGCGCCGCCGCTTTCGCGTCAAGTGTCTGGGTCTCCACACCGGCGGCTCGATATCGCTGTTCCTTTCCCAAAGCCCGCAGTATGTCTTGCGCTAGAAAGCGCTTATCGACATGCCGTGGCGACCGCCCGTGCGGCGGCACGAGATTGGTGGACGCCTGGCCAGGCGCAGGGTAGACTGCGTTCGGCGCATTTGCGGCGATAGTCCCTGCGAAATGCGGATGCGTTTTGGTCATCTCAGCCGACAGCGGCGTCGGCAATATCACGGGAAAGCCCTGCGGCGAGACGAATATCGAGACCGAGCGCTGCATATTCATTCTCGCCAATGCCTCTGCCGCACTGAGCTGAATGAACTCGGATGACCCGGGTTGCAACTGCCAAAAGAATATTTGAGCCCCTGGACGTTTGATAATCCGGATTTTCGCATGAGGGATATCCATGAAAGCTTCGGGTGGGGAGGCTTTCTGCCAGTGATTCACCATAGCAAGAAAAACTGGCAAGGGATCTAGTTGGGGGATGGGTAGATTTGCAAGGGAGGGTGGTCGTGGTTTAGGGAGGGATGTATGGGAACTCGATGGCTGGGAGGCAGATGGGATCTGCGATTGCGCCACAGCGGCCGAGGCGAGGGCCGCAGCAGGAGGGCGAGGTTCAACTGTGCTTGAAGACTTGTGAACTGGCGTGGAGCTGCCAGCGACTGCATTTGCAGGTACAGAGGGTCTCGCAGTATTTGGTACAGGCCGTGAAGCACCACCACTGACGCCCAAACCTGCAGGTGAATTTTTTGGGACTGCTTGAGGTATCGGTGCTGCGGCCGGCGCAGAGGGACGTGAGCTCCCCATTGCACCATCCACACCAGGGTGAGACGTACTCGACTGCTGAGGAAGCGACGCGTGTGATGGCTGCTGGGTTCGCGCAGTCGTTTGTGGTGGTGGAATCGACGGCCGGGTCTGCGATCCGCTAGCAATATCATTCGGATTCTGGCGGGCTGCAGCTGGCGAGATCGTGTCCAACGGATTGACAGTCTGAGGCGGTAAGGGTGGGGGTGGGTGGGAGATGGGGTCCTGCTGTGGCTGGGCAGATTGCCGCGAGGTCGAAGCGACTGGAGGTGCAGCAGGGACGGGATGACGAGCTGGCGGGGGGACTTGTGGTTGTGAATGTGTAGTAAATGACGAGGTTTGATATGGTACGTGTGGATTCGACGCGTAGTAATGGTGATAGGCTCGGACTGTGGATGCTGGCACCTGGGCTGGGGGAAATGCCGGATAGGCGGGCTGGGCAGTCAACATTGCTTGCGATGCCTGAACGGACGGCTGGTAGTGATTGGAGGTGTAGTTATTCTGCAACAACAATCAGAGAAGAGATGAGCAATGGAAAAGAACGGACCTGTAATCCTGGACTGAGAACTTCCTCTATTCGTGGGGATGACTGGGCTTTCGCACTCCCCGACGCATGATTTACTCTTTTCTCAGCTGCGGGTGATTGATGTGGATGCAATGTGAGTTGCGGTGCAGCTCTGGAGTGGGCTGAGTACAATTGACTGGCTGAGGGAGGTGAGCACTCGCCTCCCGGACTGCATACTTTGCAGCATTCGTCTAAGAGGGGCTCAGAAAACCCTTCCACAATCCAGCATCATTGACACGTACTGCGCCTCTTCCCCCTCTTGCACCTTACGCATGAGTTCCCGCTGTACCTGATCATAGTGTTGCTTGCCAGCCTCATTGGCCAAAGTAGCCTGATGGAGCGCCGCCTGCATCTGAGCGATGTGAACACGATTGGCTTCGTACGACTGCTCGTCCTGAAATGCCACCGGCCAGTTGTAGGTCTCGTTTGACATCCTTCCGCCCTTGGGAACTTGGGAACTGCCAAGGAGCGTAGTATGTTAGAAGGGAGATAAACAAAGCCAAACTAATCCGGTCTACTTACTTTTGGGCACGCAAGGTTATTTGCCTGGAGAAATGTCTCGGGCGGATGCGATTTCAATTCAGGAACAAATATAAAGCTATAAAGACCTTGAGTCGAATCTGGATGGGTCGATCCTTATTCACAAGCACTCAAATACTCCGGAACAGGTCGTCGCATAGCCACGAACATGACAGCGACTCATTGCGGTACCGTGACAATGGCAGTGCAGTAACAGCTGAGTCAGCGTTCGTCAAAGCGTTTGGCAGAGTCAGTCACAGGCCCACCTCAAAGTTCGTTTGGCCCTGGGCCACTGCACTTTCGCGTCCCCTCCACTATGTTTGGATCTAACTGGGGTACCAATAACAACAATCAACAGCAACAGCAGCAGAATCAAACGTCTGCGTTTGGCCAGCCCTCGACATTCGGAGGTTCCGGTACTGTGTCCAGTTCGGCGCGTCCTGATGATCGACTGACATTCATATACAGCTTTTGGCGGAGGAACATCCAATGCGTTCGGCCAGCAGCAGCAGCAGCAGCCTCAGGCCAACCCCATGTTTGGAAATCTGACGCCAGCGACGAACAACAACAACAACAACGCCGGTGGTGGATTCAGTGCGTGTTTTTTCGCTACCGTCAGATCCGATCTCGAGCTGAGAACGTCCAGGCGCGTTTGCCGGCGGCAACAATGCACAGAACAACGCGGGGACGTCTGCCTTTGGTGCCCCCAAACAGGGCTTCGGCGCGTTTGGTGGAGGAGGCACGAGTGCATTTGGTGGGGGAGGAGGCGCGTTCGGCCAGACCCAAGGAACTGCGTTTGGTGGGGCTACAAACAATTCATCTGCGTTCGGAACACCCCAGAGCACGTCTCTCTTCGCGAATAAAACAGGGACGGGGGTGTTCGGCGCCGCGACAGGTGCGTGTACTCTTCTTTCGACCTCTTACCCAAAACTGAAGTGAATATGTCTGTCTCGTTCAGCTGGCACGGAAAATGTCGCGCCGGTTACGACAGGGTCCTCCAATCCTCCCTATGCCGCGTTCTCAGAGAAGGATCCGGCTTCTGCGAGTGTGACACTCAACTATCAATCCATTTCATGTATGCCCGCGTATCGAGGAACGTCTTTCGAGGTGCGTTGTATCATGGAACTTGTCCACGGGGGTCCTAACTTTTTTTTCCAGGAAATACGATTCCAAGACTACGCGCAAGGCCGAAAGACTTCAGGCGGATTCGGGCAGTCGGCTGCATTTGGCGGTGTCCAGCAGCCAACGAGCATATTTGGTCAAACTCAACAGCAGCAGCAACCAGCACAGCAGACGTCGATATTTGGAGGAGCGACCAACGCGCAACCTACGACAGGATTCGGTGGTGCTTTCGGAGGGAGCAACGCTCCTTCGACGTCTGTGTTTGGTGGCGGGGGAGGCGCGTTTGGTCAGCCTCAGCAGCAGCAGCAGCAGCAAGCGGCTAGCTCCCCCTTCGGCTCGTTTGGTCAGCCCCAGGCTCAGCAGCAGCAGCAGCAGCCTCAAACGACCGGTGTCTTCGGAGGCGGCGGCGGAGTGTTCGGAGGCACCAACAATGCGGCAAAACCTGCATTTGGCACGTTTGGTGCGTTTATTCTACTGGTGTGCCTATCCACAATCACCAATTGTTTTCCAGCGGGCACAGCGTTTGGCAGCAGCAACTCCACTCCGAATCCTCTGGGCGGCAACGCGCAACCCACCAATAGTATCTTCGGAAACAACGCTAACACACAGCCGACTACTGGTTTTGGGTCGTTTGGTATGCGTCCAGTATCATTTTTCGAAACAGTCCTTGATAAATCTGCGATACAGGGAATAACAACAACACCAACGCGCCGAAGCCTAGCATATTTGGTCAACCTGCTGCACCAGCTACGACAAATACATTCGGTGGGAGCGGCGGCTTATTCGGCAGCACCGCAAACAACCAACAGCCTGCGGCACAACCAACAGCTGGCTTTGGCGGGATTTTCAGTAACCCGGCGCAGCCGGCTACGACGACTGGCTCCAGTGCGTGCTCTCATGTAGTCGCAGAGTGGATCTTTTTCTGACGCTGATATCAGTCTTTGGTGGTGGTACGACAAATGCCGCGGCCCCGGCTAACCCGAATCCATTATTCGGCAACAGCGGTGGCATATTCGGCAACAACAACAACCCGCAGCAGCAGCAGCAGCAGCAGCAAGGGCAAGCCACGACCGGTATCTTTGGCAAGCCAGCGACTCCTCTTTTCCCTGCTCTAGGCGGGAGCACGAACACAAATCAAGCTGGACCCTCTCTTTTCGGGAACAGTCAAACGAATGGCCTCTTCGGAAGCACGGCTGCGAAACCATTGGCGCCAGCACTCACTCAGTCGAACCCCTCAATGTTCGGCAGTATGAACAACAACAACCTGAACGCGTCCAGTGGTATGCTCACGGCCTCGATTGCCGAGCCAATATCTGCGGATCTGTTTGCTATGCTGCCGACTGGACCGGGACCGTACGCGTTGGAGCTTCCACCGAAAAAGCGAATGCCGATGTTCATCGCACCTCCTCCGCCATCTCTGGAGCAGCTGCGCAGCCGGACACCCGCGAGCTCGAAGCTGCGCGGATTCGGCGCGTCCAGGAGTTCGGCGATCCGGCCTACGCTCGCAAATCCCTTCAACTTCACCACCAGTGCTGTCCCAGGAGCCCTCTCGCTGAGCCGCACGTTGCAATCCCCCGATGCGCTGGGGCGGAGTGCGAGCCCGGCGCTGGGCAGCGGGTCGCGCAGCGGTGTGAAGAAGCTGATTCTGGACAAGAAGGTCGACGCGAACGAACTGACGGCTGGGTCGCCCGGCCGAGGCAAGATCGTGTTTAGTCCCGCGCTGGGGATCGCGATGCGCGAGAAGGAGACTGCGCGGACGCAGGCGCACTCGCCGGGCCAAGACTCGCCGACGCCCGCTGCCCGAACGACTGCCGGCGGTGGCACTCGGTTCACGGCAGCAGCGCCGCCGCCCGCCGCTGAGGATGGTGACCGGTACGACGAGATTGAGCCGCTGGAGGGCGAGTACTGGTCCCGGCCGGATATGTCGGTCCTGCGGCTGGCCAGCCACGGGGAGCTGACGTCGTACAAAGGCCTGACGGTCGGCCGCGCGGGTTACGGCGAGGTGACGTTCCTCAAGCCGGTTGATCTGACCGGGATCAAGAAGCTGGACGAGCTGTTTGGGCTGGTCATCCAATTCGACGACAAGGAGTGTGCCGTCTATCCCGATATCCCAGAGGTGGAGAAGCCGCCTGTCGGCTCCGGGCTCAATGTGCCTGCCAGAATACGACTGCTGAACTGCTGGGCTGTAGATAAAGCCACCCGGGAGCCGATCAAGGATCCATCGCATCCCGCTGCCATCCGAACCCTCAAGCGACTAAAACACATGAAAGCCACGCACTTTGAGAACTTCGATTACGAGACGGGCGAGTGGACGTTCACGGTGGAATGGTTCTGACCCGCACCATCCAGCTTGTGCCATATATGCTATCGGTAGTTTCACTTATAGGTAGTCATTAGCATTGTTTGTACTCATCTCAGTGTCCTTGAAATATGATTCCTAGTGGTCGTTGCAAGCTTCTCGGATTCCGACACGCCAAGGCTCTGAGGAACTCTCAGAAGGTTCCGACGATCTTACACACTAGCGAGAAGGATGGCCGGAGAAATAGATAGTGTTTACTTGGACTCACCGGTCGAGAAGATCAAGCCAGCGTATTTATAGTGGTTTCGCGAAATTTCAGCCTCACGCGACTGCCGCAGAACGCCATTATCTATCTTGTGCGGATGGGTGAGCCATAAGTGGTGAGAATGACAGCGCGGGTTGCTGATGTCGATTTCGACCTGACAGCAGACACATGGGAACGGCGCGATTGTACCGGTGGGAGGAGTGCCAGATATTATTATAGACGGTGCGGACGTATGGCATGCAGGAGTGTCGATTCGAGGTCATTGGATCTGTGATTGGTAGGCGTAGGGTGTGCTGGTGTATGCTGCTCGCGTGATTGAGACTCCGTCGGACCGAGAGGGGCACATCACTGTGACTGATGATGAATCACTGATCGGTTGATGAATCGAGAATCACCCGCCAAGTGTGTCACGTGCGTCAGGTCCTCCCCTGGGGCCTGCCTTCGAGTCTGGCACTCTGGTTGAGTCCGAGACTCTCACTACATCCTCTGCACCCGTGCCCGTTCTCACCCAATGGCCAATGTAATGAATCCCGACATACCCTCTCATTAGGCGGCACATAACTCAAATTACTCGTGCGCCCGCCGCATCCACACCAGCCTCTCAGCTTCCATCAGATCCATACAGTATCTGGGGTACACTTTCGGATCGGACATGTGTGCGGGACCGGTCCCGTGGGAAACACACACGCACACCCCAAGATGCGTGAGCGTGATCTGGCGTCCGGAAGCAGCGTCGGGCGGTCGGCCATCTGCGGAACCACGCGCGCACGTTTTCCACGCAGAACTTGGCAACGATGCCTTGTGCTGCATATAAGTAGGGTGAATTCCCAGCCGTCCGTGTGTATCGCCTGTCCAGTGAAGCAAGCTCTTCTCCCCCCCTTACCCCCACTCTCCTTCGTGTGTATTGCGAGTCGCGTGGAGCAAGCTAGCTCTTTCCTCCTCGACCGCCATGAGTTCAGCCGATGCTCTGGGTGCGGAGCAGGCGCTGCTTCTCCAGCTGCTCAAAGACTCGACACTGACCAACGAGCTCGCTGGTGTGTAATCTCCACTCTGTTCTTGCTGGAACTGACGAATTCCTGTTTTGTTTGCTTCTCCTTCTAGTCGCTGCACTGAGCATTGTCGTGTATGTTTTGCCTCATATCGGGTCTCGTGCGGTCCGGGAAAAAATTAATTGGCCGCTTAGAGTCGAGCACATCGCCACGCTCAGGGACGAGGTCGGTGGAGTATTGAATTCATCGCGATCCCGCTCGCTTAGTTCGCTCCCCCAGATCGACCTTGTTTGGAGGACACGGATCAGCCTCGCAAATGTTTTCTATGTTAGTGCCTCCGCCCATCTTATCTCATCTTATCTCTCCCGCCTGCGTGTTGAACTTTTGTCTAGATTTGGGTCCGCCAGTTTCTCTCTCTCACGGTCACCAGTCTGACGGACAGTTCCAAGATCCGATATTTCACGCTCGGGGTGATCTGGTTTGTCCCTACCCAGGCACAATAATGTACGCCGTTGATGGACTTTGACAGTTTCTCTGTCTACAGTGAGCCAAGAATGATGATCATTATCCTGAGGGATCTTGATCATTGTCTCCTGATTCTCGCATCTCGATTCTGATATGTCGTCAGACCTGGTGCGACCGCAGGATTCTGACCGAGTACGTCTCCGTCTTCGTTTTCTGTTCGCGCGGTGGTCGTGACTTTCGGATCAGTTGTGAGTTCGCCATGTGCTGCGGCCCTTGCCAAGTCTGTGCGGCGCGGCTGACTGGACCCGATTCGTGTCTCTCTCTCTCTCTCGTTCTCTCGCATAGCTGCCAAAACTTTTTCTACGTGCGTCAGTCTCCCCAAACGACGTGGATCCCCGGCAGCTCACACATACGCGCTCCCTCACACAGGTCTTATTATCAACATGCACATTGATTGTCGTGTCGGCGGACTTCATCCTGGCGCTGCGGTATGTCGCAATCACAGCCTCTCTGAGACATGAATGTGATTTTCGTCTGGCAGAGTGTGGATTCTGTTCCACCGGTCCAGGACACTGCTGTACTTTCTCGTTCCCCTCTTGATGGGTATGTTCGGACTTCGCCGAGATCTTTCATGCGACTCATTTCCGCAGCTGAGCTGACCGGGATGTGAGAGCCTTCCCTCCGAATGAGCTTCATCTTGCGGCTGCTGACAAGGAGATCAAAATAAGGCTGGTGACCGGTTATTTCGCCATCGTCGACCTAAAAGGCGAGTCTGATCCGTCCACGCCTCTTAATTTCGTTCGCTGACCAATCTTTCAGTCTACGTGCACGCACCCGGGTAAACTGTCTCAGCCGATCTTCTTCGCAGTCATTTCTAACGTTTGAATTTTTTCCAGATTGACTGGATGCTATTCACAAGGCAAGTGTTGAGGACAAGGGGCGTTTACACTCACTGATCACCTATCGGCTCAGACGTTCCGAGGCTGCTCACCTACTACGCCGTCCCCCCGTTCTTGATGGTAGGCTCGCCTCTCTCATGCGAAACCGATTGCTCATCTGTGCAGGCCACGACCATGTTCGCTATGACGCTCCATAGGTGTCGGTTATCGCTCGTGACGTCCCGGGCCTTCGGCCGTGGTCCCATCATCGCCATGTTCCTGCGCGACGGCGTGTTTTGGTTCTTGGGTGTCGTCCGTAAGCAGCCAGGCAATGGCCTAATCACTGTTAATCCACTGATTGACGGGGCTCTTCTCAGTGCTTGCGACTGCGGAGATTGTCATTTGGCACACAGCGCGGCCGACGCTCGCCCAGCTCCCCATTCTGCAAGTCCATCTCCCCCGCTTCCGTAAACTAACCAGCAGCTGACAAAACCCCTGGCTCGCTTACAGCCCCGCGACATCGTGAGCCCCAATCATTCACACGAATCGAACTACCCCCCAAACTGACCGCGAGCGCAGATTGATCGCTATGATCGGTGCCCGCGTCGTCTTGAACATCAAGCAAATAGCTGCAAATCGCGGGTCGGGGATCGAGCCGCGCGCATTGTCCAGCTTTCCCGTGGTCACCCCGTCCATTGCGATCCGTGCGTACACGACGAGCCATGTGTATTATGAGGAGGAGGAAGTGTATGCACGCCAGGATGTGGAGATGTGATTCAGGGACTCGGGACCCAGGGACTACTTGTATTTTGGTTGATTTCAAAAGTGTATGTAGATATATCGAGACAATGTTCAGCAATCTTTGTATAGTATAGACTGGCACGAGTCATCCTGGCTCTGTATTCCATCTGGAAGCGCCGATCTGAACTATGTCACGTGATAGTAACGTGCCTTTTAAGTTTTTGACAAGCTGCTTCCGAAAATGTCACTCAATCAAAACTTCGCAACCGAGCTTTGTTCCTTATCCAGCAGGTTTTTCCCCGTCATCTTGGGCTCAGAGCGCACGCGCACCCACGCGATGCATACACGTCGTGGTGGCGCAACCAAGATCATTGCGGCACCCCTGTGGCGTGAGACGCGATCTGTATTCAATTGGTTCGACCTCCGAGGATTCTGCGCTGTGCATTTCGAGCATCAATCGAACAACGCAAGTGTTGTGCGAAGCTGCAGGGGAGGTCTACGTAGAATCATGTCGGGACTTACACGGCGGGGGAGCGTACGCAGATTCACAAGCACTGCGGACGGGTTTGCGGTGTACTCGGCGTGCGATGCGAGTGCCGCACATGCGTGTGAGCGGGGATACTTACTCTCGCGGACAATTGCAGGAGCAACTGGCCCCGGATGTGACCTTGGCTACTCACGAAGGTCGCGCTGTACTGCGCCCGCTTGTTGTTACCCCATCTCTGGCTTGTCCCTGGCGACGGATTGAGTACCAAAAGCGCCGGTCGCAATTCCAATGAACTCGAGCAAGAACTTCGGAGCAAGTTGGAGCGCTAGCGCGAATTGGAATAGGACGTGGGAGTCTGGAGAGAGCAGCGGGTGTGCCGAATCCAGATCAGTATTATTCAGCGATGGTGTCAGATCATCTTCAAGTGGCGCTTGACGGGGACACAAATCGAATGCTGCTTGCTTGCGCGATTCTTGCTGATGTATCTCGCACTTCGACAGCCTGAGGAGTCATACGGATAGCATAATATGTTCTGCACGCAGCGGCCCGTCGCGTCAGAAGAGATTACCGACCCAGCTTCCGAACAGTCATGCACGAGAGGGTGGGAGATCTCTGGCGCCTTGATCCCGTTGATCCTCTGTTCCGATCAACTTCAACTTCATATCCGACTGTCCGATATTTGGAGTGATTGCGAACTTATTTAGATTCTGAACACCGGTGCGCCCATTTCTTCATCGAGTTGCATCTAGCCCAGTCTGAAGGAGACCTCGAAGGCGGCCTAGGTGACAAAAGGCGAGACTCGATTCGGAGAAGCGTCCGGGCATGTGACTTCGCCTGTGATGAGCCGCAGTGGTGCTTATTCAAGACTGAAAAGTTCCCACCGAGCCACTGGCGAAGATGTGCTTAAATTACCCGGAATCCGTCGTAGGCGTAGGTGCTTCGATGCGCTACTCAGGTGAGTCTGGAATGGATTGGGCTGCGTGATGGGAGCTGGAACCTCCGCTCGCATGTCTTCCGTGCGGCTACTGATTAGAACAGGCTCGCAATCACTACGCTACCGTCGGGAGAAACTTGCGTTATTTCGTTGACTCACCGCGGTTGTTTGGGCGCGCTGACCCACAGGCGGTCAAATAAGTATTACGAGCTCAATCGAGCTAAACTGAGCCTTTCGTCCATGCTTGCTCATGCAGAGCACGCCTAGCTCTGCGCTTATCGCTCTGGAGGCAAGGTCTTCACTTCCATCGCGGATAGAAGGAGTAACTCCTCTGGTCCTTCGTCATGGCCAAGCGTAATACGGCGCGCAGCGAACAGATTGGGATTCAGATAAATGTGTTTGCAAGCAAGAAGCATCTTCTCCAATCTCGAGTTCGGTGTCGTTCGACATGTCTCTCCCAGTGCCTCAGTTATTCCAGCCGATTCTGGTGGGCGAAATGCAGCTCAAGCATCGCGTCGTGATGGCTCCATTGACGCGCAATCGCTCTGATCCAGACCGCGTCCCTCTCCCGCTCGTGAAGGAATACTACGTCCAGCGGGCCTCGCAGCCGGGGACGCTCATTATCTCAGAGGCCATGTTCATCGACGAGCGCGCTGCCGGATGCCTCTATGTTCCCGGTCTGTGGTCCGAAGCTCACATTGCGGCGTGGAAGGAGGTGAGTCGCAAGACAATGCCGCGGGAGGACCACGTGTAATGTGATTTTAGATCGTCGATGCCGTGCACGCGCAGGGCTCGTTCATCTACATGCAACTGTGGGCACACGGTCGAGCAGCCCAGCCGGACACTCTGGGTGAACACGCATACGTGTCCGCATCGGATATCCCGCTCAGCTACCGGCCCGCGGACGAGATCAAGCCTCGCCCACTGTCGATCACCGAGATCGCCGAATACGTGGAGCTCTACGCGCGCGGAGCAAAGTATGCGGTGGAGGGTGCTGGCTTCGACGGGGTCGAGATCCACGGCGCGAACGGGTACCTGATCGACCAGTTCACGCAGGATGTGAGCAACGTGCGGTCGGACGAGTACGGAGGGAGCATCGAGAATCGGACTCGATTCGCGCTGGAGATCCTCGATGCGGTCGTTGCCGCTGTGGGCCTAAGAAAACGGGTTTCCGCATCAGTCCGTGGAACAACTATCAAGGTGAAGAATTCGCGATCGAACAGGGTTCGATACTGACCTGGGGCATAGACATGTGTATGAAAGACCCCAAGCCTACCTTCTCTTACCTTCTCGAGCAGATCAAAGCGCGGTATCCCGACTTGGCTTTCATCCACGCCGTCGAGCCACGAGTCGCTGGAGGCGATATTCTCGCAGACGACACCATCCCAGAAGACGTAAGCAACGACTTCATCCGCGACATCTGGGCATCCGACACGAGGCGACTCATCTCTGCCGGGGGGTACAAGCGTGCATCGGCCATCCGAGACGCGGAGAAAGGCGAGCTGATAGCCTTCGGGAGACTGTTCATCTCGAATGTGAGTTTTGTTGGATTAATGAGGCCACCGTACTGATAATGAGGTCAGCCCGACTTGGCCTCCCGCTTGCTACATGACTACCCTCTGAACCCGTACGACCGGGATACGTTTTACGTCGATGGCGTCTCAGATCCGAGGGGCTACACGGATTATCCATTTTACGCTCCCGAGTCGTAGCTTGGGTGATGTAACTGATGTCGCTGGAGTTGGTCTATCGCGCGAGGATCCCTGCTGTTCTGCGCGTAAGAATGCCAGCATCTAGATCCGATAATGAGGCTGAATGGAATATTGAGTTAATATTAAACGTGTAGCTGAAGATGACGAACGCATGGAGAGCGGGTCGTGAGCGAGGGAGTTTCCACAATCTCATGAACTTGAAGCAACTTGCAAACATCTATCAACCTTGATATATATTCCCAGGGTCACGAGTCCTAGCAGTCATGTCTTGGTCACGGCAGGAACATCACATGTGAGCTCAAAAATTGCAATGGAGTCACAGTACAGACATATTGTAACTAGTCTATTCCAGAGCGAGACCCGCATGAAAATGAAAAGGACCTAGACCAGATCAAGGTGAGCCAGAATCACGGATCGGATCGGCAGTGCCGTAGGACCCTGCTCGGCTGATAAGTTGAACATAGCATCACGTGATACTCATCAGCTGGCTAGTTCTGGCTGACATGCACTGTGATTATGACGCCGACAGCGACAGGCATACTGTAGGTAAATTTATTCGCGGATCTTGACCGGATTCTTCAGGCGTGTGAAGTAAGACGAGACCGAAAAAGTTCTTGTCGAGTGCAGATTTGGCCGTGGTGTCATTTACATAAACCACCACGGGGTTGTGCAGATCGCTTACCAGAAAATGGAAGGAACCACGATTTTCGCAGCGAGGAAGCAGCAGCAAAGATCACTCTATTCTTATGGGAAATTTTGCTAGCTACGCGATTTCTGTACGAGGATGGAATCTGGTTTTCTGCGGACATTTCGTGGAGAATTTCAGGAAGCTTGATGTGTCTGATGTGACGAACCCAGTCTAACCAGAGCCCACAACCTGTGACTCGGAAGTGTAGAACGGATAGTCCGTGTAGCCTCTCGGATCAGAGACGCCCTCGGCGTAGAAAGTGTTCCGGTCGTACGGGTTCAGAGGGTAGTCATGGAGCAAGCGGGAGACCAAGTCAGGCTGATGGATCTCATTGTCAGTGCGAAGCCCCGAGTGATACAGCAGAACAGAACTTACATTCGAGATGTAAAGTCTTCCGAAGGCCACCAGTTCGCCTTTCTCACCGTCCCGGATGGCTGATTCGCGAGTATATCCACCAGCGGAGATGAGTCGTCTCTTGCCAGAAGACTCCCAGATGTCGCGGATGAAGTCGTTGTTCATATACTCTGGAATGTCCTCGTCTGCGAGAACTTCCCGTCCCCCGATCGCGGCTCGACGGCGTGGATGAATGCTAGGTCGGGATGCCGCGCTTTGATCTGCTCGAGAAGGTACGAGAAGGTGGGTTTGGGGTCCTTCATGCGCATGTCTATGCTCCCGGTCAGTATCGAAGTCTGTTCATGCCGGGGAGGATCACCTTGGTAATCGTGCCAGGGACTGATTCGGAAGCCCGTTTTCTTGGGCCCGACAGCGGCTACGACCGCATCGATGACCTCCAGCGCGAACCGAGCCCGATTCTCGATGCTCCCTCCGTATTCATCCGACCGCACGTTACTTACATCCTGCGTAAACTGGTCGATCAGGTACCCGTTCGCGCCATGCACCTCGACCCCGTCGAAGCCAGCCTTGTGCACAGCGTTGGAGGCCGCTCGCGCGTACAGCTCGACGTACTCGGCGATCTCGGTCGTCGAGAGCGGACGAGGTTTGATTTCGTCCGCGGGCCGATCGCTGAGCGGAATATCGGATGCCGACACATACGGGTTATCCCCCAGGGTGTCCGGGAGGGCTGCTCGACCGTGTGCCCACAGTTGCAGGTAAATAAATGAGCCTTGCGCGTGCACGGCGGCGACGATCTGAAAAATAATCAACAGTTTGATCGGTCGTTGATTGCCTGAAGACGTGAACACACCTCCTTCCATGCCGCGATGTGGGCCTCAGACCACATGCCAGGAACGTTGCGGTAGCCGCTGGCGCGTTCGTCGATGAAAATCGCCTCAGAGATCACCAAGGTCCCTGGCTGCGATGCACGCTGGACGTAGTACTCCTTGACGATCGGGAGAGGAATCCGTTCTTTGTCCGAGCGGTAGCGGGTCAAAGGGGCCATCACGACGCGATGCTTGAGCTGCATGTCGCCGACCACGATCGGTTGGAATAGCTTAGGCACTTGGAGAGACATGTCGAGCAAAAGCACAAGAGAGAAGATGTTGTATTATTTTGTTGCTGAGGAACGCATTTATTCGACTCGCATTCTGATTCCTATGTTCAAGACGAAATGAGTCATGACAAACAGAGGAGGGGTCATCGCGCCGGATGGTCGCCACCTGTTGTAGAAGCGACGCAACGAGCGTTAGGCTCAGCTTTGAGAGTCCGTGCGAAACCGGGTCGTGCCAAGCGTCAACGAAGGCCGTGGATGGTTAGGACTCGACCGGCATCACTGGATTCGTGATCCACGTGATCCAACGTGCCACCGGCGACGAAACTACTCACTCGCTAATCACAATCCCTCTCAGACCTGATTGAGCAGCGCATCTGGCTGCGAAATCCATACATTGCATTCGTGGACTCGATTCCTTGGCTTATTCAGTGGGGCTGACTCGATAATCTCCAGCCTTGTTGTGAGGGCGAGCCAAATTCACATTGGCCGGAATTGGCCGCCGACCCTTCCTCTTCTCTCCTGCTGTCTTCTTCTGGAAAAAAATTCCCATCCACAGATCTTCTTCCGGTCCGTAACTTGTCATTTTTCATGACGGATGCCGCCCGCTGGCTCTCGGTCAGAAGCTGTGTGGCTCACCCACTCTCATTCGACGGTCAGCTATTCTTACTCTCCGGGCCGCTGCAGCCCTTTGTGCTCTCTGCTAGCCGTTATCAGCATTGAAATCAAGCAACTATCTCACTCGCCCGATAGATAAAGATGATGCGCTTTATCGTTATGCGTATTTTATGTTATGCAGTCTCTTTGGATATGCGCATCCCAGCGGCCTGCACATTAAAGCTGAAAGCTGACGACCACATTCTGAACCAAAGCACGTTGTACTCTAAACCGCCTGACACGCTTGAGAATCTGCGTGTACGGTCTTGAGCGCGAGAACTCTGTCCATCGGCATGGATCTGCATTGACGTCAGGCGCGCGGGTTCCTGCGGTCGCGCGCTGCTCCGTGTTTTTGATGAACTCTAAATTTTCACAGCGCATTTTCCTTTGAATCTGTCAGCAGGATAGGTTCTCCGATCCGCGTCGGAGCATTACACAAGCACCGCGCTTCAGCGTCGAGCAAATTCCTATGATGCACGAGGGCAGCAGATACCGAGAAACCCCGGTGGAGCTGCGGAAATCAAATTCTCCAGGATAATCAGTCAAGCTGCGTGGGAACAGGTGGGGACTCGTCGGATAGGCTGGTGTGTCCTCTGCTTGAAGAATCTTAACATCACATTCTGATGATATCAAATGACAACTCACTATTCTAGGCAGTTGTCGGGCTGTTACAACCCACAAAGAGACTAAGACGCGAGTGAAGGGATCAATTCCGTTCCGCTTTTAGAGAATTCTTGCGTCGTATAGGGAGGAAGGCTGCGAGTTGGTGGAATGGCGTTGAATGAAACCCACGTGACTGTCACGGGATCGTGTTTCGATCACCAGATCTTCGCCGTAATGAGCTCACCGGTCCAAGTAGAGTCGCAAGCTGCATGGAAAGTTGAAACATCAATAGCTCCTTAAAATTTATAGACTAATTGAAGTACGTGTTTTCGCCTGATATAAGTATGTACATATATAGTGCTCAACTTTGATTGACGCGGTCTTCAAGAACGAGACTGCTGCACGATCTCCCGGACCCTGTCTACCGGCAGGCTGCGCCACTTCCTTCCCGTATACCCTTCCAGATCATCCGCAGCGAACAAGGCATTCAAGACCGCTTCTTCCGTCGCATCCGCTGCGGCTCGGAACATGAAATCCAGCGTTTCGTTGTGTACAGCGTTCACCGTCTGTCAATGCCAAGGTTAAAACCAAGAAGGGAGGCTAGTTTCAGTGACCCACGAAAGTCGTGATTGGCTGAACGCGGGTTTCGTACGTCGGAGCGACTCGAGGGGTCTCCGGTCTGGCTGTGCTGAAGCACAGGAAGATGTCTGATAAATGTGAGAGCTACTCTAGAGGCTCGAGGACGAGCGTACCACCGCTGAAAAAGTGATTTCCTCCTCCTCCTCTGGAAATGCCCACACCAGCTCTCCGGGCAACCGCGCTGCACTGTCAACGTCATCGACAACTCCAAACGATGCAGCTGACGGACTCACCTGATGAGGAAGCAGCGGAGCGTCGGTGGCAACGATGACGATGATGCTGAGGTGCTATGAGTTGGATGGGAAACGGATCGGAGCGCAGATGACTTGCCTGCCTTCGCCATCTTGCAGCTGTTTGACTTGGGCGTCATGCGTCGGAAACCACGGGGCAGTGTAGCCTTCCTCGTCCAGGATCTTGCCAACTGGCTTACCGCCAATCACCAGATCGTAAGGCGAGCCGTGATTAGCCTGGAGATAGTTTATAGCTTGGTGCGAAGGGCTCAAGAGGGGCCACGCACCTGCACCAAGACACCCACTGTGTAACTCGTGCCATTCAAGCCTGGCACGATGCGTGAGGACGATCCTGTTCCCCCTTTGAGGCCAAACGAAACCATTCCCGTCCCACCTCTGAGGCGCATCAGCGCCATGGAAAGAAGGGATCGGTAGATAAATAACGAACCCAACGTTGCCTTCTTGCACACTCTCACTGGACATGTTCGCCACCGCCTCCGAAACCAAGTCGGGCATGGACACCTCCGAGTGCGAGAGAGGATGCGTCATCCGGTCGTATGTCTCACCAACCACGGGTAGCTGGATTCTCAAAGGGTTGATGCCATTTATCGCTGAGCGCAAATCAAGAACATATTCTGGACGTTTCGAGCCAGCGCTCACCATCGTAGACACGCCCAGTGTGCATCGTTCCTGAGATCGCGATCGGACACGTGAGTTCCCCGCCTTCTTTTATGAATATAGAACTGGATGGGGCCATGAATCTGCGAGACATAATCGACCATGCAACATTATCGTACCCAGTGAGCTCCCCAGAGCCCTGGAGGATGCCCACCCCAGCATAGAGCGGCACCTGCTCGATGTCGTCCGTTCCGATAATGGTCACTCCTGCACGCACGATCTTCTTCCTCTCCTCTTCATCCTTCCTGTGGACACAAGTCAGAAAACCATTAGGCGCGCGGATGGGGCAACGAACGAGGACAGATTCCCAGCTATCTTCTGCGCCGTCCCGACCTTGACCCGTGGCACGTCCGTGATGCTGTTGAGCTTGCCAGGCTTGAGGAGTTCTCCGATGACGATTCCGATGTCGCGCGCGCGGGGGCGTTTGGGTTCAGTGCTCATGGTGGTTGGGTGTGTAAAAGGGAGACGTGGCGTTTATCAAAGGGAGTCGCCTTCATCACTGCGGATGATAGCATGATGCCTACGAAAATCGGCAGCTGCGGCCGGCCGGGAAGGTGTGAATGCGATGTGGTTAAGCGCCCAGCTCAGGTGAGGTACACCCGGGCCATGGTCAGCGAAATCGAGGCCACTACTGCATCGCTGACGTGAGAGTAGTGCACAGAGCCTTACGGGTAAGCAGCGAGAAGACCCCTCATGATTTGAACCTTCCGTGAAATTATCCTGAAACTGCAAGATGACTTTGTTGCCCTGCGCAGATTACGATCGATGATCTGAGGTTGTTTGGTGAGAGCCATGATGCATGCATAGCCACCTGTGCCTTTTTCAAGTCTGGGACCCAGTCAGCATCACTACTCAAAACAACACTCGAAGATGCTCGAGCGCGCCTATCTATAGCGCTGCAACGAACTCATCCCATCCTCTTTCGAATTACTTTATGAATGAATGACGATCAGCCGGACCGTTCGCCCACCAGAACCTCGCCAGAACCTTTCGTTGAGAACTCCTGTCCCGCTCCGATCTTGATATATGTGCACCAACTTATCCGACCCACAACTCCTTTCTGAGCATTCCAGCCTTCTCTCACTTCCGTTTATTGCCCGGAATCCGTGCATACATGGTCTCCATCACCATCGCTCTGCAGGACCTGGTCTTCGACTCTGACAACATCCTGAAAGCCGTGATCCGGTACCGCAACGACCACTCGCGGCGGTACAGCACGAAAACCTTCTATGGTGATGATCAGCATACGTCCCGGTTGGAGACGGCCGTCGAGAACCGGGTGGGCACCGCCTGCGCTGTGATTGACTGGAAGCGAAAGACGTTCAAGATCGGAACGAACGTCGCTGGTGTCGACATGATGAAGAAAAAGAGTGGTTTCCTCTCGACGTGAGTCCGCCTTGCTCTCCCCGCCAGCATCCCCACCGACTCGACTTCGCACCAAGCACCCGGCACTGGAGGTGGCTCGAAGGGGAGGAGTATCGCGTGAGGTATTCAGGGGATAGCTGGTTGGTGCGTGGGATGCTTGTGAATAGTTGGTGCCAACCACCTGACTACATCCCTGGAACAGGTGCGCAATTCGAAAGACGATTGCGTTGCTGAGCTCAGGTCGTCCATAACCCCTATCTTCTCGGGGGAAAGCAGCCCTCCCGTGCTGCGATTTAGCCCGACGCTCTCGAGCGAAGACGAGCGCATCTTCGTGCTGCTTGTGCTTCTGTATTCTGAAGCAAAGCGTAAAGACGAACAGGGCTGGGATGCCTGAACGACTTTGGCGTCGTAGCATACATCCATCCAACACTCTTCCTCTATTTCGACGTAGGAAAGACCATTACTCATACCATAGACAATTGTCTACTGCGAGCCCATAGAATCCGGCCGATCTAACTCGCATCCTTCTACGGAGACGCAGAAAGACCCATGCGTATGTCTTACAGATTTTGTGCCAAGGGTTCAGTAAGGATGACGAGAAGCAGGGTGAGCAATGCCAGCGAATCGTTCGTGTCGTCGTTTGGCGTCGGTACATTGTCAACGTGACAAACAACGACGTTCCAGAGTCGGATCTTGTCCGCAAAGTGCAGCCTGACCCATAACCCAGCGCGCTTTGGTCATACTCGGGAGACGAATTCGGCTAAATCCTCGGCGTCGACGAGAAACCCGGAGCTTATTATTTGAGCGGTTAGCTTGGCGAGTACGCGAAGGTTGGATGCAGAGTTCACGGGGCCGATACGTGCGCAGGGTCGCACCATCGCCTGACCCATGGCTTGACATTTTCATGGAAGAAATTTACGGTTAGTATGGAAGACTATGGAAGAGGACAAGGAAGGAGGACGGGCCGGATTTGCCGGAAGCTAAGCAAATTTGAAATCACGGCACGTTCGTATGGTGGTGCTAAATTTATCATTTCCGTTACGTTTGCTCTTTCACTGTTTGCAAGCACGTTCATAAGTGTATGCTGGCGTTGCGTCCCCTTCGACGAACGCCCATTCTCATCCCCACCAGGCTGTCCACTCTTTTCCCTCCCTCGCCGATCCGGACTTGCAAACGAGGTCTTATGGCTCCGGTTCCCCCTATGAAGCTTCCCCGTTCGTTTTGTTTGTGTCTCGATGCGATCCAGTTGGCTGAACATTCTTTTCAGAGTGCTGGGGACACCGCGGTGTGAGTGGCTTCATGCCTTGCAGCCCTGACGTGTCGTACTCAACTATTTGACTAAGGCCTCGTCTCGTTACCCCGAGAACACTCTGGCCAGCTTCGAAGCTGCCATCAGAGACGGAGCTGATGGAATCGAGAGCGGTATTCCTTTCCGCGCGCGCCTGCGACCGTGTTCGTGACACGCCCCTCAGACGTCCACGTCTCCCTCGACGACGTTGTTGTGATGTTCCATGACCCAGGCACGTCCGCGTCGTCTTTTACCTTCCCCGACGCGCTGAGCATGATATCCAGATCTCCGGCGCACCACGGACTCTCAGGGTCAGATCAGGGAGCGCCGATGGTACGGTGCGGAAGGCATGGAGCACGTTCGGACGCGCAAGGAGCCTCATCAGGCTATTCCCACCTTTGCGGAGACCATCGCCCTCCTGATGCTCGTACGTATCTGAAAGGCCTTTTTTTCGCGTCCTCGCTTACATGGGCCGACCAGCCTGAGAACCAGCACGTCGGATTCAACGTCGACGTCAAAGTGCAGAACGACCCCGCGCGCTTGTTCGCACTGATGCACAGCATCATTTCGTCCCAGCCTGAATGGGAGACGCGCCTAGCGCCGAGGATTCTGCTTGGGCTGTGGCATCCGAGCTTCATTGATCCTGCCAAGGAGTTCCTCCCGTACTGCCGTCGTTCTCACATCGGAGACAGCCCGTCGCTGGCGCGAACGTACTTCTGGAAGGACTGCGACGTGTTCAGCATGGCATTCGGGTCTCTGACGTCGGCTGACGGCGAGCGGTACGTGGAATGCGCCCTCCCTCCTGTGTTTTGCGTGCTGATTCGGGCTCTAGCTTCCGCCATGAATGTAAGGCTGAAGGGAAGGAGATCATGGTTTGGACCGTTAACGATCCGAACCATATGACGGAGGCGACGCGTTGGGGCGTCGATGTCATCCTCACGGATAAAACCCAGACATGGCTTGCGTTGCGCACGGCATTGAGCAGTACGTGGCCCCTCCGCGATTGACATCTGCATCTCGTTGATCGGAAGATGTTTGTTTTTGCAGCCGACTACGCGAAGATCTTGTCTCAACACAGCCGGTTCTTCCTGTGGACGACCGTCAAGTTCTATACTCCGATCCAGTACATCAAGCGCACGATCGAGCAGCACCAGCTCGAGTCCGTTGCCGGCCCTTTCGACAAACTCAGACTTCTGGGGTCTTTGCGCGTCAGATTGGCATATACCGTCAACTGGTGCCTGAGCTTTGTCCTATAGATCTCACCCCCATATCCTTAACTCTAATCATACCAACATCTTGTGTCATCCATCCCAAGGACAATCGTATAGACTCAAATTTCATTCCCCATTCCTTGATACATACAAGTACGCTTGACATCTACATCCTCGTATAGACGCTGTAGTAGCTGACAGTACTACGGCGGCTGTGAAAACGACACCGGGGAAAGAGGCATTACTTTGTGCGTATGCGACAATGAAATCCAGTGAGCTAGAAACGAGCTAGCAACCCGAGAGAACGCGCGCTAGATGATGATCTAGGAAGTGACCGCTGCCTTGGCATCCGCGGCAGCGAACAGGTTTCTGGCTACCGCGGAGATAGGCACAACATCATCGAAGCTAGTCTAGACGTGGATATTGCGGAGGCGGGGTCAGGCAGAGGTACACACACTTAGCATATTCCTTTTGACAAACAGTGAACTCTATCGGACGGCCGCGCGATCGGTATTCGAAATGCACTCTCTGATATATTTGCTCACATACGATAACGCGCATCTGACATTTCCATACGCGCAAGTCATGAGCATTCGATTTTTCATCGACGCGCCACGAATCTCAAGCGGAGAGTATGCGCGTGATCGATGACCAGGAGATTCTGCACGTGATCGCGCTGACCCTGCTGTGCCTTGTTCTGCACTGTTCTTTCGGATTCTGCGTGCATCTCATTGGATAAACAGTTCGGAATCGAATATAACGACCGTCTCAAGCTGTCCTGACTTCTTTCGCTCTCGATAACCGAAGAGGATGAAGATTCGAATGCTCACAACGAACAGGTTCGAGCCTATAGACTGTCCCGAAGAAACTCAAAGGGCTTCAAGACACGGGAGGAGGTTTGCGTAGGCTCGTGCTGGCATGTGCTCCAATCTGACAGGCTGCTTTCTGAGATCGCCATATTCTATCAGCCTCGAGATCCTGACCTGTGCCCCGATCTCTGCTGCGAGCTTTGAGAGGGCGCAACAGCCCTTCCTGCCGTGCTCTCCGCCCCGGTTCGTATTGCACCCTAATTTCAAGCCTCTGAAGTTCTGCAGCTGTGAGGCGCTCTGCGATTTGCAGTCATCGAAACCTTCTCGCTGGCCTTTGACTGGGCCGAGATCTATTCCCTGGATGTCATTTTTACATGGGAATCTACCACTTCTCACTAGTTTGAATGACCGTCTTACCTTTCCAAGGCCGGTTGGACTCCGTTTCTCCGCCCCGGATGCACTCCGGCCGCAACCAGGCCGTCCACCAACTATTGAATGCTGATTGCCTTGGGAGCCCATGATCCACATAAACTGTTTTCGTTGCTCTCAGCAACGCATCGCTCAATCTCTCTCTCGTGGACAAGTCGAGGCAGGGCTTGTGCTTCCGTCAAACGCTGCTGAGGACGCCGAGAAGGGACGCAGCCATCTGTCCTTCGACATCCGAGATGTGACTTCCGCCATCCAGTCGGCTGACCACGAGAACAGTACCAGAGACACAGAGGCTTTGTATGCAGATTGTCAACGGACTGGTCCCCGAAGGTGTCGATCTCAAGTAGTGCAGTGCAGTGCTCTCGAGACTTGGGTCGTAGCGGGGTCATACGCCAAGCAGCTCGTATGACAGCCAGCCCAGAAGTTGTGTGTGCCGAGCTGTGCCCGTTCTATGTACTCAATTTGAGACATGACCACTAAAACAGGCACTGCGCATGATCAAGTTGTCGACCGTCCATGGCTGCTGGTTCCATGGAACATTGAATCGTAGAATCGTGCTCACCGATGGCCGCAGTATCCACGAGAGAGTGGGTTCTACTACCAGGAAGTGTGCTACACGGGTGCAAAGTCACGCTAATTTGTGAATTCAGCGACTGGCTTATCGATAAGCACGTCCTAGTCCCCGAAGAAGCATAGCCTTCTCATCTTGTCGTCTCCGAGCTCACGCCATGTATGGCAGCGAGCACGTACCAGACCCGCTCCATGCTTGTACTGACCGCGTGCAGCCGTCTGTCTACTAGTCAGAGTCTGAAATATACACCAACCAACTCGTTCACATGGAACGCGGATTTGCTCTGTGTTTTCCTGATCCACAGGAGGCGATGGCTGAAGAATACAAAAGCAGAGGCGTGTTCATCGGAGCCGTTGGCTGAATCACCCCCGAGAGATTTTTCGATTCTTTCTTCAATGTGTATCTTCCTGCCGCCCATCCTATCAATTGCGGCTTTGTACCAGCAGGATTCGTTCCCTTGAAGGCATATGCAGCCCATGACCTTGCACGTACACTCTATAAAGCATGTGTGTTCGTCGTCCATAATCAGACCCAGAGGTGTTTCGTGAAGCTCAGTGAGGGAAGATGAGCAAGGTTCAATCGGCCGATATATGGGGTCATCGCAACCAAGGTGCAAGTGGAGATGCAGATGGTAGCCTATCAACTCCGAATCTGCCACAGCTAACCGGCTCTCTGAGTGCAGCCAAACTGCTTCGATACCTATTCTTTCCACTCCGAGTGCTCGTTCCGAGCGAAAAGCTGTAGTTTGAAATACGGTCGCAAGTGCTACAAAACGGATCTGCTTGAGACTTGAGCGAATTCGATTGGGACGCGGAATCAGATAAGGCACATTTTGAGAGATCATTCGTAACCGGAACAAGAGAGTAGAGCGACATGCAAGCACGAAGGAAAAGTTCAGCCTTTCTTGAAGCCTGCTTTGTATGAGTGCCGACCCTCGTCGAGAATGAGCCGGCAGCAACTCACCCAGCCTACGCCGCTCATAAAATAGATCTGTCCTACTGGCACCCAGATTGACGATCTTTGGGCAGCCGTCACGATCTTTCTCCAGACGCGTGCACTCGGCGCAGTAGTACGCGTCAGAGATACCTGCCTTCGTCAGCGACAGTTCAGCTAAATTCGTGTTCACACACACCTGGAGAGCCGCAGATGATGCACCGTCCGCCAAAGGTACCGAAGTTGCATTCATCACAGATCCGCACGAGTGTTTCCGGTCTCACGTATGAGTCGCAGACGGGGCTGAGAGATGTTAAGAAGAGCTTTAAGGATGAATGGGGCGGGTTAGTCACACCATTTACCGTCGCACTTCTCGCAGAGGCGACCAATGGCTGGGGTCATGAGCAAAAGGGAACGAGACTGTAAGGCATATAGCGTACCGATACCGGGCTGGCGCCGGCACATAATGAGATCTAGGTTAGAGTGCATCAGACAGCAAGAAATGTCATGAATAATGCGGGTACGCACCGGGATGGTGCTTCGACATTTCGGCAACTGGTGGTGAGCAGAGAGCAAGTAGAACGAGTCTATGCTGCAAGATTGGTCAGCTCGGGCGCGTGAATTTGAGTTGATGTATCTGATCTGACTGATATCAATGTTTGGCCCCGCATTCCCATTTTTTCGCAGCTCTTCTCCCTCCATGTCTCGTCTGCTGGTCCAGAACCTCCCGGTGTATATCACTCCTGCGCGACTTCGCGAACACTTTGAGCAGAAAGCTGGACCAGGGGGCACGATCACCGACTGCAAAGTCGCCTCCAAGTCCGATGGCACTGCGCGTCGCTTCGGATTCGTCGGATTTAAAACCGATAGCCAGGCCACGGCCGCCAAAGAGTGGTTCAACAGGACATTCATTGACTCGACGAAGATCAGGGTCGAAGTGATCGATGTACGTGAGTTTTCATTGTACGCTACCTGGGCTGGTTTGTTCAATACCTTCTCAAGTAGGGCGCCAAAAATGCACCTGCACCTAGACCTAATAAGCGTCCTCGTCTAGGGCCATCTCCCAACGACGTGGAGGCTACGCCGCCAAGTAAGAAACAACGCCCTGATGTTGCACCCGCGAAACCAGTCCCGGACGCCCAGCTCGACGAGTTTCTCCAAGTCATGCAACCTCGCGCGAAGGGTCGCACATGGGCCAACGACGCTGCACCCCTCGCATCTGAAACGACCTCTGGGCCGAAAGATACGGAGAAGGATGTCCCTATGGAGGACGAGCAGCCACAGGAGGGCATGTCCGACATGGAATGGATGCGACAGCGGATGTCGAAGAACGCGGATGTGGTTGAGAAGGCGTTCGAGCAATCTGATGACGAGAAGGATGCAGAAGAGTCTGCGATGGTCAGTAGGCCCATTTGATCCTTGTCTGATGCTAAGCCACACCCAGCCCGCTGTAACGTCCTCCACTGAGCCTCCGGAGGGGAAGGATCCGGACACGGAGACTATCTTGCAGACTTCCCGACTTTTCGTTCGGAATCTCGCGTTCTCGTGCACGGATCAGGAGCTACTTGACTTGTTTTCGCCATACGGTGCCATCTCTCAGGTGAGTTTGCAATCCTTTTGACTCGTCTCCGAGAGCGGCGATTGTAAAGACGACAAACATATAGGGACATCAGACCTTCGGGAATGCTGATCCTCCTGGAATCATTAGTAGAAATCATTTTCTGAACTTTTATTCGCCCATTCGATCCATCGTGTGCATCTTTACTAATGTCTTATTCAGGTGATTACGACCTTCTTCCCCCTCGTGAGATGACAAGATAAATAGGGACAACTTACCTTCGGGAATGCTGATCCTCTTGGAATCAATAGTAGAAATAGTTTTCTGACTCGCTTTTCTGTTTCATGGTCTTTTAAACTTCGTGCTGACTTTTCTCGCACAGGTGATGATGCTTTCCTCGGATCCTCTGCGGATGACAAGCTAAATAGGGACAACATACCTGCGGGAATGCTGATCCTTCTGGAATCAATAGTAGAAATAAATTTCTGATCTTTCTGGGGTTTCGACTTGTGTTCGGATGGCTTACTTCCTCTTCTCTCCAGGTGCACCTACCCGTCGATTCAGCAACGAAGCAGCCGAAAGGTGTCGCGTATATCACATTCGCAAACGCAGCCGATGCAGTCTCCGCCTTCGAAGCTCTGGATCGCAAGTCGTTCCAGGGTCGTCTCATCCACATACTGCCCGCGGTGGACCGCAAGCCTCGGTATGAAGTTGTCGAGGGTGAAGGCAAGAAGAAGACGGTCAAAGGCGAACGAGAGGCCAAACGAAAAGCTGCCGCAGGAAAGGAGTTCAACTGGAGCATGCTGTACATGAACGTGAGTGGAACACCAGCGTCTTGGTCTGGTTCTCGTCACTGATTCTGAACACCCTCCAGGCCGATGCTGTCGCTTCCTCGATCGCAGATCGAATGCAGATCTCGAAGTCTGACATCCTGAATCCCGAAGGTTCAGACAATGCCGCTGTGAAACTAGCCCTCGCCGAGACGCACATCATTCAAGAAACCAAGACGTATCTTGAATCGCAGGGAGTCGTTCTAGAGTCTTTCTCGTCGAGAGCCCGATCCGACACTGTCATTCTGGTGAAGAACATACCGTACGGCACGTCGGCGGAGCAAATCAGAGAGTTGTTCGAGCCGCATGGGACACTGACGCGGGTAGTCGTACCTCCTGCCGGGACCATGGCTGTCGTCGAGTTCGAAGACGCATCCGACGCATCGACTGCCTTCCGCGCCGTCGCCTATAGACGACTGGGCAATTCCATCGTCTATCTCGAGAGAGGACCGCAGGGGATGTTCCGCGGCGCTGTACCCGTTGCAACAGACTCAGCAACGATGCCCGTTGTCCATGGTGTCAAGATCGCCACCGAAGACGTGACCGAAGAGCAGGAGGCGAACCCGAGTTGAGCGCCGGAACGACTCTTTTCGTGAAGAACCTCGCATTCGCAACGACGACCGAGCGCCTGGTGCAGGTCTTCGGCAAGCTGCCGTCCTTCTCGTTCGCGCGTGTACAGATGAAGCCCGACCCGAAACGCCCCGGGGCCCGGCTGAGCATGGGCTACGGCTTCGTCGGGTTCAAGGATGCCGATGGTGCGAAGAAAGCGCTGAAGAGTATGCACGAGTTCGTGCTTGATGGGCACGCACTGTCCGTCAAGTTCGCGGGGCGCGGGACGGAGGATGAAAGCAAGGCGGGTTCGGCTTCTTCCAAGAGCAGAACGACGAAGATGTTGGTCAAGAACGTACCGTTTGAGGCCACGAAGAAGGATATCCGAGAGCTGTTTGGGTATGTCGGCTATTCTATGGAGCTGAGATACTTGAAGCTGATTGGACCCAGGGCCCACGGCAAGCTCAAGTCAGTTCGTGTGCCGAAGAAGTTCGACTCCCGATCGCGCGGCTTCGCCTTCCTCGATTTCGTCTCGAGGCATGAAGCAGAGAACGCCTATGCAGCATTGCGCCATACCCATTTGCTCGGTCGGCATCTCGTTCTTGAATGGGCCGAGGAAGCCGAGCAGGACCTCGACCTACTACGGAAGAAAGCAGGTGTCGGATACGGGTCCGGAAGCAGTGAGATGCCCGGTAGGAAGAGGAAATTGGACATGGGAAGAACGGACGGCAACGATGACCCAGAGTCATTGGAGTAACTGCGAGACTAGCGATACGCGATCACGTGAAACTATTCCTATTCTCACGTGCAACTCTTCCGCTTCAAGATTCGAGTATCCATGGCATGATCTGACTGAGGTGATCCAATTATAACACCGATTACGATAAAGAATGATGTATGTAGACAACGATGTGCTCCGTCTGACTTTCATGTTCTACTGCACCGCGGTTCTTCCTGTCTTCATCGTCCGTCGCCGCGTCGGTGTCTCTTCAGACGCGAGGGGAGCAGACTTGCGGGTGGGGTCTTGATGAGATGTCAGGGACAGCGTCGTTGCACAGCGGTTGCAAAACGTGAGCTGGGTGAGGAGTCAATGTGAGATTCTGTTCAGTTATCGGCATGTACCATACGCACAGGCATGTATCCCTGCATCGCTGTCATCAGCGAGGCTTCCGCCCGCCTCGAAAGCAGCTGGTCCAACTTCCCAGCCTCATCAACCACAGGCAGATCCCCAAGAGCGAGACTTTCCGGCTCTCCTCATCGAGTATCTTGACCGCCACCAACTGATCCAGAAGCTCGCCAGTCACAGTTGAGATGCTGGGCAGCGAGGAAAAAGGTTGCAGAAATCGCGTTCGCACGTGAGTCGCGTCTGCGGTTAGACTTGTCCCGCCTATCGCGCTATTCCATCGCCAGCAGCTCCTCCTTCCAACCGCCAGGGGTGTCCCGCCGGCGCGTCGGTGTGCGCACAGGACTTTCGGTTTGCCTGGTGGCATCTGACAGCGGGTGTGTCTGGGCTCGATGACGCCGAAGAGGTGTGGATACAGCCGCAGCTCTGGTAGCGCGTTTCGCGTGGTGGATCGGGCTGTTGGGGTGATCGGCTGGGTTTCGTCGCCGCACGAGCGAAGAACGTGTCCTTTGCGGGGTCTCCGCATGTCTTACAGTGCGGGGATTTACGTGGGGACTTTGGTGGGGCGGAAGACGCGTTGGATTCGGAGGTGGGTGGCATACTTGCCGAGGGGCTTGCTGGAATCTGGGTAGTGCTACTTTGGGCGTGCACGGTGGGGGTCTGTAGGCTAGTTTAGAGCGTATAGGTAGTGTGTTGTGTAGTAAGGATTTCAAGCCGTCGATTAGGTAGAGAGTGTGCTGGTGTCGTGCATTCCTCGGACGGGTGTGAATGAAGGCGGGTGGCACGTGATACCGTGACCTTTCTACCTGCACCGAAAACCTTTGCCGCTCCTTCTTCTGATCTATGGATTCGCTTTACCCTACGTTGAGACATTGAACGGCGTAGGAGGTGTGAGTGATAGGAAGAGATGGAAACGACCTGACGTTATTTTCGTGCAATC